TTGTTATTCAAGCTATTTGTATTGGATTTTTTACAATTGAATTTTTTGTTCGTATATTAACATGAGAAGTAGTTGTTACTGTTATATTGTGATCTTTTTCACAATTTAAATTGTCTGAAACAACATATTGTGGTAATGTTTCAATCGAAAGAGTAATAGTTGATATAATAATCATAGCCAATGATAAAATATTAACAATTTTTGCTGTTTTTGAATAATCAGGATATTCCATTGTTATCCATAAATATCTTCGAATAGGATGTTTTGGTAAACGGACTTTTTTAACTTCTTTTATATTTTCATCTTTACGTATTTGCTTAAGTGCTTGTTCTCCTAATTGAAAAAAAGTAACTTCTTCAATAAATATATCAAGTGGAATATATTCAGGTCGTCTTAAACGACCATGCGATTGATAATAATAAAGTATTGCTTCAAAACACGTACGATGACGATCAAAAAAATATTCTTTACGAGTTTTGTCATAATAATATCTACGTCGTTTCTCATTTCCAAGTAATGTATCTGGATAAAGTTCAAGTGTTGTTCGCCATGTTTCATAACGATTACCACATACATTTATTATAATACGATCATTTTTATTTGTTTCTTGTTGTTTTTGAAAATCCATTAATCGAGTATTAAAACTTTGAACATTAATAATGTCATCATCACTATTGATATATACATGTATATGAATATAGAAATAATTTATATATAGATATGAGTAAATTGTGCTGGTATTGTACGGTTTGACGAAAAAAGTCGAAAAAAATAAAAGTAACTATGAAGAAAATTTGAGCCGTACATTCGATAGAGCTCCATTGACTGTACATAAATCAAATATTTTCTCAACTGTCACTTTTTTCATTTCGAAAGAAATCCAGTTTCATAATAAAATGAGAATGTTCTGGGATTGCTTGACAAAATACTCATCACTTAAAATAAGTATTTATACGTTGTTATTGTATATCAGTCGAAAGATTTTGAAAAGCAGAATCTAACGAAAATATGCAGAATTCTACCCGCAATATGCACATATATCTTAAGTGTGCACGGTTATCGGTGAAACTCTCATATCCTCACTCCCCTCCCTAAGCGAACCCTCAAACCTTCCAGCGACCCAAAGTAAACAGAATACTCAGTAAATGTCTGAAAACGTATCTCAGCCTGAGAACAGTCGATCGAAGTCAAAGAAGGTAAAATAAAAACACTATTTTCTCTAAATATCTATCATTTTAATCTGTCGTGACATTTTTTTTTTGAGTAAAATACTGCTTTCTCCTGAATGATACTTATTTAAGAGCTGAAATTTTTATTACAGTTCTACCATATGGTCAGCTAAAAAGGATAAAAATATCATTGGCTAATTGCTTATAGTTATCGAGAAATCAAAGAAACAAAATAAAAAAATCTATCGTGACATTTAGTAGAAAAATAGCTATGCTTCCCTCGTATTTCTAGTTCTTTTTATTCGATGCAGAAGTTCCTTAGAAAAAAACGTTTTTATCAAAAGATTTCGCGTCCTTTAATCTATCGAACACAAAAAGAAAATCTGAATTTGCTTTTAAATCGGCTTTAGTAACTTCAATTTAATCAGTTATGACATAAAATGGTCAAAGTATATGTTTACGTAGTTTGTGGAAGATTTGATGGATAAATCGTAACTGAAAGTGAGATCTATTTATATGGCCAGAAAGAGAAAAGTCTTATCTACAAAATAGCTGTAAAAAAAAACTATTTTCATCCAGCCAAAATTGTGATAGAAAAATAGTGATTTTCAGAGCAGTCATCCTCTTCCGCAATGTTCAAGATTGCGGAATCAGCTCCGTTTACGGAATCACTTCCATTCAATTCTGAGAACTCGATCATCACTCAATATAAGAGGTCTAATCGATATTCACCGAGTTCCGTCAATTTCCGGAATTCATAGAATCGCTTCCAATTCCGGAATTCCGTACCGGAATTACTTACTTCTTCCAATGATTAACCCTTCTCCACATCACAGTGCATGGGGGTGAGGGCGAGACGTAATTCCGGGATCGCTAACTGGAATCGCATCAATGATTGGTGGATGAGAGTGGTATGTGTATGCTTGATATTGTAATTCCGGAATTGGTAGGAATTGTGAGAAACTCCTGCCAATTCGAGAGTTGAAAGCGACTTCCGGAATTCCGGGAAATGACGGAACTTGGTGAATATTGATTAGGCCTCTTGTATTGAGTGAGGATAAAGTCCCCGGAATTGAATGGAACTGATTCCGCAATGTTCAACATCACGGAATCGGAAGTATTCTCCAAAAGACTTGCTGTTTTTATGGTAAATAGGGTAGATACTAATGAGTACTTTTAGAAAAAGGACAAGTGGCGGTAAGGCCATTTTTCATTCCCTAATATTTTTGAAAAAAAAATGTATGGTTAGAATCAGCATTCAATTCTGAACATACTACGCTACTTTATTTTTTACCCGGATGAAAAAAAATTTTTTCAAAAAAACTTTTGGCTGTGGTCCCCTACGGGACCCTCAAAAAAAAATGTTTTTTCTTTTTTATCTCAATTTTGATCATCTACAGGTTATCGACATTGCGGATCACGAATATCATATTGATTTTGCTTTAAAATGTTAGAGGAGGTCAAAACCCGGTCAAATAGGGTCAGTTCCTGGAAGGCACTATTGTCGATCTTTTTGTAGTTTTTGACCGACTTTCACCCTAAAAACCAATATCAGACAATAGAAAGATCATTTTGATGAACAAAATTAGTTGCTCAACTCAAACTATACAAAATTAAAGCTTAAAAAGAAATTACGTGTTTTTTCAGTTCGATTTGTAAAAAAAGAACAAAAAAAATTGACATTTTTTTTACGCTTAGAAATATTTTGTATTATTATTAAGCCTCCATCCCATGAGTTATATACATTATTCGATGCAGTTTTCCGTGCTCTTTCTAAATATGACTTCAAAAATGAGAAAAAAGAATTCCGAACATGATCAAATATAAGAAATATTTCAATTCAAGCAGAAACGTCAAAAAATGACTCAGTATTTTCAGGCTAAGACCATTAAAACTTAATTTTACACTAAAGTGCATATAATATTAAGAATCAGCATGGAAAACTACACCCAGAAACATCAATTTCGTCAAAAAATATTTTTCATGAAAATTTCAACCCCTACTCCCCCTCAGTACTTTTTTCATATAATTTCACCTGTATTCCCCCTCAGTCGAAATTCCGATGAAAAATA